AGGCGGATAGGAGGCTGTACTGGCGATTCCCACTCCTACCCGCATGCACTGTTCGGTCTGTGTATACAGCTAAGGGATGAAACACAGATTGCATCGTGAAATGTCTTCTTATACATGACACCTAATTCCAATCTTCTTACTCCACTATAAACACAGAACAAGGAAGGAGTGTTTTTATATAAGCCCAATATTTATATAAATAGAGCGCAAAAAAAAATGGAAAAACTGGCTGGAATCGACAGCAAATATAACTAGAATGAGAAAATACGTAGAAATGGGAGGGAGAACTTTCTGGCTGCTAAAATGCACGTAAATTCCTATCAAAATTCGACTTCAATCAGATTAGAGGCAATGAAAAAGAGCAAGCAAGTTTATGGAATATCCAGCTTTCAAAGCAATTTTTAGAAAATCGCAATGAAACAATGGCTGGTAACAAAAATATGATGAAACAGAGTAACCTTGCGAATGTGCTGAGGGCAGATTTGATTTTCGCATTTTCCTCTTTGCTGCAATAAGATCGATTTGCCTTTTCGTTCGAGGTATTCGAATTCGCATGAAGCAACACACAATCACCACTGCAACATCATCCCCATTCATCTAATTCAAACGTAGGAAAATTGAGCAAACGGAACTCCACAGTTTTCCAGATAATTTAGAAATGTAAACTACGCTGCCTGTGAGAAAATACACGAAAAGAGGTGAGTAAGGAGCAGACCCATGACGAGCAATATGCCGGAGACCAGGGCGATCAGCATCCAGAGCCGCAGCCCGGGAGCAATGTACCGATCCAACGCCGCTATACTGCCCTCATTGTTGTTCGCGCCAGTGCCCGTCATTGCGGAACCATTCGGCAGAACGCCCGATACCAGCGATCACTGCAGCTATGTTCAGCGACTGCTGTAATTTGCGAACTGTCACGATGATCGGCTTTTCAGACCCAGAACAGTTGTTCGGGTTAGGCAGCACCAATACGGTGATTCAGATTTGCACGCTGTATAAGGTGGTAATGTTTGCGATAACTATAATTGCCGTGTTCAGCAAATTGGAAGATGTGAAATCATCGGCGGATCGAGATTCACAGCAGCGGAGCGTTTACGCAACCAACAAAAAAAAAACCCAGGCTGGAACGCACCAGGGCGGTGCGATTATGCGTTTTTGCACTTCTCGTGCCGTAGCAA